GAACTGGCTTTTAGCACAGACCCAAGCAGACCCACCCCGCTGAGAACTGTCCCTTCTGAACAATTTTACACACTTCCTTCAGATATGTCCCATATGTCCTGGGACTGTGGTTATTTTATCTCATTTTTTTTTTCCTGAGCAGCTTTAAAGAGTATAAATATTCATCATTTAGAGGCTGCAGATGCTGGAATGACCAGAGAGACCCTTGTATAAAATTTAGGGCCTATACATAATTTTTAAAAACTTCACTTTTTGAAGCCACAAAAATGTACACAAGTGCTGAAATTAAAATGCCTTCTCCTTAGAAGCTTGCACCCTTGACTCGCTGTGCCCTAAGCACACGCTGGATCTAGTTTCTGGCTGATCCTGCCAGGGTTTAAGCTGCTCCATAAGACACTTCCCCGTAAAGACTCATGTTGCACGTCCTCACCCTGAGCCTCAGAGGAAGCCCCAGAGTGGGGGCCAAGCTCCCTTCGAGCCCCAGCGACATCCTTGAGGGAAGTGTGCTGAGGCTGCAGGTGGGACAGCCCTGAAGGGCAGAGCTCTTCTGAGGGCAGAGGCCAAGTGTATTTGTTTGGGGGTGGGGCGGAAGAACAAAGAATCAAACACAAGGATAAGAAAGAAGGTTTCAAGATTTTAGCCACAACTGGGGGAGGGGGGCACAGCTTTCACCATAGCAAGTCCTGCTGGATCAGCCCCGCCTCCCCACCCCCTTCTCCCTTCTCTCCTCTTCCTCTTGGTAAAGGTCTCTTCCTCCCTGCCCCTGAACACGGCAGCAGCTGGTGCTGAGAGGGCAGACAGAAAGGCAGAAGTCCCCTCCATTTCTGCTTCTAGGAGGAAAGCAGGCGGGAGGCAAGGTCACTGCTGGGAACTGCAGCAGAAGGTGTGTCTGGCACAGGGAGCGAGGCCAGGAAGCTGTGGAAGCCAGCGGTCTCCAGGGCTGGGGAAGAGGCCACAAGCTAAGGACAGCCCCATGAAGGCTTCCCTGGCACCCACAGCCCAGGGACCTTCACACAGAGGCAGACTTGTCATCTACTCAGAGTCAGGGACATAAAACTGTCTTCAGACTGGGGCTCCCTGAGGACAGGTGTTGGGAGCCTCCCTATTCCTACCTCCAGCTCAGCAGCCGTCTCACTCCTGCCCCTCCACCCCACCCTGGCAAGGCTCCAGTCTCCTTTGTGCCGCAGCAGTCACTGCTGTCTTCCAGTTCAGCCCGCTGTCTGCTGCTCTCTGCCTGCAGCCGCCCGTCTGAAGCAGCAGCGGCTCCTCCCCGCCTTCTCCCCCAGCTGTACGAGGATGCACACGTTGCATTACGCCGACTGCCAGCCCACCCTCTGGTGATTAAA